GCCTTCAGAGAGACAACAATGAGAACAATGAGAACAATGAGCTGGTAAGCCTTCAGAGAGACAACAATGAGAACAATGAGCTCTTTGAGTGACATTTTGGACGTAAGGGCCAGATGGGCCCCTGACACATTGAGCCCGGAGCCTTTGCCTGTTAGCACCAGAAGAGGTAGAGTATTAAGATTCCAAAAATAACCTTATAATATATATTTACACTCTTTCATGCTAATACAACATCACCCCATGGGACCGGCCCCCATGGGACCGGCCCCCGCTTCTGTGTAACAGTCTGACGTGTCTCAGAGAAGCTGTTTTCATTTCTTGTCCAACTCACACTTAAAATTCATGAGCCTGCGTCCTCCTCTGTTCTCCAGGTCTGAGTGCTGCTGTACCTGGAGGACGAAGGCGATCGCCCTCCTTCACCGTCCACGCACAATATTCAGGATTAAAACTGAAACGTCGACCTTCTAAAGAGAGGATGAAGGTCTGTTCTATACTGAGGAATAACAGACTCATCTGAGGAAACGTAATCCTTTATTATGTGTAGGATACATGTGGATCTAAGTTAAGAAAAACTCTTTAAAGGCGATCAGAGAACATTACAAATAATATACTATTCTTGTCTAAATATTAAACAAATGGGCTCATTTCAAACAGCAGCGCTGACCCAGTTTTCTGACCCACGAGTCAAAGCGAGAGTGCTTCTTGTCAGCCCGCTGTAGAGCCGTGCTGCTGAGTCAGCGTGTAAAGATAGGCATCAGAACCTGTCAGGTCATCTCACGTCACAGAGGTCTTCACAAATCCTGCTCATGTCAGATACGTGGAGGTAAAGACTACACCGTCGTGTATCGGGGGGGGGCTAGCTTCAGAAATAGCTCAAAGCCTGTCGCCTTGGAGACGACTCTAAAGCGCTTCTGTTCTCTCAGACTCAGCATCCCGACGGCAAACATGCTCACGGTATATATGACCAAAGGATCTATAACCCACACCTTCATGTTCAGAAACATCACCACTTTCTCCACTGACACTTCTAGTTCTGTTATGTTCTGAGTGACAACTCACCTTCACAGCACAGTAATCAAAGAAGCCGGTCTCTGAGAAGATGGCCACCAGCACCATCTGGAACAAACAGCACACGTTCCTTTCATTTCCCTTTATAGAACAAGATTATGTCACACTGATATTTCAAAGATGGTGCTCACGTAAGAGGTGGTGGTCAGTAAGAAGAATATCAGGATATTCTTTTCACTAATACTTTATGATCATACTTGTAGCCAGAAAGCGACTGCAGGTTGTTTTTTTAGCTTGCAAGTTGATCAGAATTCTACTCACCCAAAGTACATCTCTACTTGCCCCTATACAACTAGTTTATACAACTAGTTGTATCTATAATCGGTAATCAAATAATCTAGAGATGAATTCATTTCTCATCCTGTAACTTCACCCAACTGACCTAATTACCAGGATCATTAAAATACCTGTTTGAGCTTCAGCTGATAAACTTCAGCTGCGTTTCATTACTTGATCAAGTAGCAGATTCACTGGCATGTGACTCAGCTTTGCGATCCTTATTTTAGAGCTCTGCTTTTCATTTTGAATCAGTTCGGACGAACGATAGTTTAGAGAATGTTATAGATGTAAGACGGAGCAGAAAGAAATGTGGGATTCAGAGAAAACGTTGCAATTACAAATCCATCTGTGACTTCAGCACCACGGACAGCACCACATGTTTATCAATACACAGTACAGGCAGACTGACCGGGCCATAGATTACAACTTTGTGATGTTTCAAAGCCGTCCCCCCTTTGTCCCCCCTTTGTCCCCTTTTGTCCCCCTTCAAATTATTCATTGCCCATAACAGCAAAATGAGCCAAGAACACAATCCAAATACTAAGTTTTTGATGGAGACTGCAAGCTTGGTGACAAATCCATAAATGATATAGACTTGACTTTATATAATACAGAAACAATTGAGGATATTTACTTTGCATGAAGTGCATTGTAGCACATTTAAATACATGTTTTGGTTTGGAGTATTTTCATAAACTCCCTCTGCTGTATTTCTTGCAGAATGAGATGAAAGTTCCAGCAGCAGCTGTTGACGGTGGAAGTTGTCCAACCAGCTGTGCTCGTGCATCAATATGACATTTAGATATCACTGATCTGGCAGAAGGATCTTGTGAGTGAATAATGAGTTGTTGTAGATGTGATAAAGTGTCAGAAGTTTAAATCAGTTCTGTAACTTTCAGAGAAAAGATTCAGCAGTTGGGAAGACGTCAGATACAGTGAAGTGAAAATCTTCCAGTAATACAAAATAAAGCTTTTTGTAAAACTGTCCAACAGGAGATTTGTTGAGTAAATGAACTCATAAATATAACTTTCGAGTCTCACCATGCCGAAGAGAAGAGCCAGCGTCTCGTAGTCGATCCACTCGACCACAGTAACCAGACTGGGCCGCTGTGGGAGACACAAAGGAGTTCATTCCTGTTACATCCAATCATCTCTATTTGATGTCAGGCAACGTTCTTCTTCTTTTCAGTGCAGAACTAAACTTCCCGACAACCTGAACAGATGTTTCAGTAACTGTGTGTGCTGTAACTGCTGCTGGCTCAGATCCTTCCTCTGGGTGCTATCGGTCTTCTTCTACGGGCGACATGTTGACTCGTCGCAGCAGGAGAAGCGCAGGTGGAACCTATAAATCTAGCTGAAGGTCCCAGTGCGCCGCAAAGGTTCCCTCAAACTGGAACCCGTTATTAACGTTATTAATTACGCCCGGGCTTCTTATTTCTGCAAAGTTGGAACTTTGAAAACGATTTTTCCAAAGTTGTGTTTTTAACTTTTCTAGAATATGTTGTTGTTAAAGTGACATCAGCTTCTTTACAGACATCACTTTGTTTTTACTTAAAATCAGATTTATTATTAGGAAATCAAAGCTTTTGATGCGTTTGTGAACACAGAGGAATGACAAACTATAAAGTCCTCTGAAACAACAGTTAAGACCAACTGAGAAGCAACCTGAGCTCTGTTCATCATCAACATCCTGAAGCATCGTTCTTGTTAGAAAAACATCAGTTCAGAGGACGTGAAGAGACATTTTCACACTTCATTATTGTGTCACTTTGTCCAGACGAGCAGATTTTGAACTCGGGAAGTTTAGAGGTGAGATCTAAAATATTTACCCGATTCACTAAAGTCAGAAGAAGAACTCCCAAACTCTGGCCATGGGATTATCCGAGGAGCACCTGAATGCACCTTAACTTTATCGCTAACTGTCCTTATTCTTCACTATAATTGCCGGCTGGATTTCCAACTCATATATTACTCATATAAGCGAGTAGCTTTTGTATTTATGTTGCAGCCGACTAAAACAGAAAAGTGAAAAGAGACTCACATCACCGATGACGGCCAGAGCGGCTAAAGCTGCCAGAGAACCCAACATGGCCGCCAGAGTACGATGCACAATCTGAAAGATCCAAAAGATTCATCATGAACACCACATTAGAAACTCCTCTCAACCAAAGAATGCTGCATTGATTTATTGATTTAACATTTAAATCTACAACTGAACACTTTAGAGTCAAATCAAATGCATTCACAACTTGTCATTTATTTATTTTCATTTTAAATTGTGTTTTTTGTGTTTCATTAAATAATCCTGCATCTCAAACTGTCATTTAAAGAGACATTCTCCAAACACTGCAGCAGCTCTGAGATGTGTGATTCTGAAGCTGCAGCAACATAAAGGCGAGCGCGTTGCATCACTTTTCTTCTGTCTGAATATGAAGAAATGCGGAAGTTAAAGGTGATATTACAGACGGCTCCATGACCCTCCAGCTCATGTATGATGCATCCTCATTAATAGAAGCTGCAGCCTGTGATGAGCACGGCCGCGTGATCAGACATCAGAGCTGCTGCCAGCAGGTCACGCCTCGTATGTTAACCAATGACGGAGTGAGAGAGTTTTCTTTCAGAGTTAAAGGAAACACGAGGAGAGTCGCTGACACACAGACGGACATTTTAGTGTTGAAGTTATAAAGTGACAGCTTGAAGACTTTCATTTAAGTACATGTCTGTTAAGAGGCAACACAATGGGGACTGACCTCTGGCCCTCTGAGGAAAGGGTTGCAATCTTTATATATTTGCAGTGTTACAAAAAAAGAAAATATATATATTAGTGCTGGGCAAGTTAACGCGTTATTATCGCGTTAACGCATTAATTAATTAACACCGACAATTATATTATCGCGCGTTAATGCATTTATTTATTTATTATTAAGTCACATTTTTAACACAAGAACCAGGCAACAAGCAGTGAACAGCTGTGTTTGTGTGGCGTCACTTCCTCCTTCCCCCCGGGTCCTGAACCCCTCCTACACTCCGTCACCGTCCTTCACTCTTGTCTCACACACACACACACACACACACACACACACACACACACACACACACACACGAGCGCCATCGTCTCGTTACAGATCAAACGTGACTGTTGTGAAGTGGAGCTTCTCGTGAGGAAGACACGTCTTGTTTGAACGGAACACTTTACTGTCTGAAATGCAGTGTTACAGTGTTACAGTGAACACAACGCGCTCTTGCACCCGACATGTGGTTTTTTACGTTTCATCAACATTGTTAGCGTCAAGAACACGTACCATTCTACTTCCTGTCTCTTCAAACTAAAAGCACTTCCGTTTTCATGCTCTTCACAATAAAAGTAAATCATGCAATCAAACAATTTACAACAGTGACAATATTAAAATACATGTTGTCGAGTTTTTTAAGTGTTTTGTTTGTAATATCTATAATAAGCATCATTTAGTTATTGCTACTGAGAATTTAACAAACGTAAAAAAGAAGTAGATAGGTTTGCAGTTTTCAAGAAGTACATTTAAATATCATCTCTTACACACATGAAGATAAAGTTATGAACACCGGCTCTATGATCAGAATCATTATAACTGTGTTATAACTGCTGCTGTGTAAAGAGAATACTGCTACTAACAACAACCTGATGTGTTCAAAGTGTTTACAAACCAAATGTTATTGACCTTTAGTTCATATAGCAGTACTTTCAAAATAAAAGTGCACAATACACTACTTTTGAATTCATTATTGAACTTCGCCATAACAATGAGATTAATCGCGATTAAAAATATTAATCGTTGCCCAGCACTAATATATATATATATATTTATGTATATATATTTGTGGTGACCGAGCCTTTGAGGCAGTGGCGCCGAGGCTGTGGAATGCTCTGCCTGCGACTCTACGCCTCGCAGATTCTGGGAACACTTTTAAAAAACAGCTCAAAACCCACCTTTTTAGGCTGGCGTTTGAGTAAAAACCCATGTCCTAGGCCTGCTCTTAAAATATGTTTTAATTTTTAATTTATTTATTTTTTTCTCTGTGTATGTAATTTATTGACCCTATGGTCACGTGTTTTTTATGCTTTTAAATTTCTGCTCTGTTAAAGCACTTTGTGATTTTTTGTCTGTGAAAAGCACTCTATAAATAAATTTTATTATTATTATTATTATTTATGTATATTTATATGTATACCAGTGGTGGTCCATCAGGGCCAGCAAAGCCTTCTCTGCTGGCCTAAACAGAATCACAAAGTTATAGCTATTTTATAATCTAATAATTTTTCTTAAATACACTACATGTATTATAATTTATAATAATATTTTCCCCATTATCTTATGTTCTCATTGCACAGCTCCTGTCTTCCTCAGTTGCTCTGCTTCCAGTGCAGCTTGTTTTAAGTAGAGCTTTTATCCAATCAGATCTCACCTCTGTGTCTCTAGGTAAGAACAGAGACAGAGGCCTGCAGACTCAGGAGTTCATCCATGTGCAGTTTAAGTGAATGGGGACAATATTGTTGATTGTCATAGTGTTCAACCAATCAGATCTTTAGTTTGACATGTTGGGCGTATTCTTTGACGTGCCAGAGCTGCTAGCTGGCCTACAAGTACGTCAGCATTACGTGCGCTGTGATTGGTCAGTGGGCTAGCGTGACTGTTGTGAAGCTGAAGCAGCTAGCAGAAGTTAGTATTAGTAGTAAGAGTTCAAGTTGAAAGATATGTAAGAAGTTATGACATCTTTAGCGTTCTGCTTGGTGTAGCTTCTTCAAAGGGAACATTCTAAATCCAACTGGACTGAAATCTTAAGCGATGCCTCCGAAAGTGAAGTTTATTCCCTGTTTACCTCAAAGATGATGAGAACGTAGACTCCGGTCAGGATGATTCCAGCGATGCCCACCTGCGTCTCCACGTTGACGTAGAGCGACTGGTGGGTCATGGAGAGCGGCACCACCTCATCCTCCTGCAGGAAGGCCTGGACCGTGATGACGATGGGGTCACTGTGAGGGAGACGGAGGCAGACACAATCACCTGCAGGTAGTTCATGTCGCTGAACATTCAGAGATCCATAAAACGTAGGCAGGAACCAGGAAGCTTTGTTATGTTGGAGTCTGGCAGTGGAAACAAAGTCCAAGAAAACAGCAGCACATACGCAACAACGGGACATATATGATGTTATGTGGCGTAAATTCACATCTTGCAAATTAATTAAAAATAACTTTGTTAATAAACAATTTCAGTGATGGCAGCCTGCAGAGAAGCTTGGGAGGAAATGGACTTAAAGGGTCCCTCTGGATGTACGGACGCATTCTCTAATAATATCTGAGTGTATGTAAGTAATTAATCAACTACAAAAATATAACACAAAGAAACTACAAAGAGACATAAAACGACTACAAAGAGACATAACGCAACTACAGACAGAGCTGAAGTCAGAGCTGAGCAGCTGCTGAATGAAACATGAAAGAAAAGGTGTAAACAGCTACAACGAGACACAGAGAAGCTACAACGAGACACAAAAGCTACA